GCAGAGGAAAGGAAGAGAGAAACAGACAGAGGAGAGAAAGACAGAGAGAAAGAGAGAGAGACAGAGAGGAGAGAAAGAGTGAGTGAGACAGAGGAGAGAAAGACAGAGAAAGAGAGAGGCAAGGAGAAAGAGAGAGGCAGAGAGAGACAGGGAGAGGAGAGAGAGAGAGAGGCAGAGAGACAGAGAAAGACAGACATAGAGAGGAGAGAGAAAGAAAGAGAGGCAGAGAGAGGAGAGAGGCAGAGAGACAGAGAAAGAGAGGCAGAGGAGAGAAAGAGAGAGTGAGACAGAGGAGAGAAAGACAGAGAGAAAGAGAGAGAGACAAGAGAGGAGAGAGAGAAAGAGAAAGAAAGAGGCATAGAGACAGAGAAAGAGAGATAGAGGGAGACAGGGAGAGGAGAGAAAGACAGAGAGAAACAGAGAGAGAGACAGAGAGGAGAGAAAGAGAGAGAAAGAGAAAGAGAGAGGCATAGAGACAGAGAAGGAGAGGCAGAGGAGAGAAAGAGAGAGAAAGAAAGAGAGAGGCAGAGAGAGACAGGGAGAGGAGAGAAAGAAAGAAAGACAGAGAGAGAGAGAGAGAAGGAAACAAAGTAATGGATGTAGTCAGGTTAGAAAAATAATCAGTGTTGGCCATCGCTTGGATATGTATACAGGTAGTCCTCAACTTATGAACTGCAATTGAGCCCAACATATAGGTTGCTGAGACATTTAATCAAATCAGATTAATCAAACAAATTGGTCCCTTTCCAGCATCCTTGCTTGGGAGTACAAACGATACAATTTTACGACACCCCCAGAAGTCCTGCCCAGCTTCTAGTCTGAACCCCAGAGGAGGAGACAGGAGATTTTATTGGCTTCTGGAGCAAAACCTGCCAGGTTTCCTATTAGGCACCCACAACCAAAACCTACTTTCTCCCCCTCTTTGGAAAATAATTAAGGAAAAAATATAGTTACCTGACGTCTCCCATGAGTTTCATAATTTCATCCGATTTTTCTTCACTAAAATACAATCATCAAGATCCGTTAAAAGAAGCTCTAAAACCAGAAACCTTTGGGGGTTTAATGGATAGAGACTTGGGGGAGGAATTGGAAACTTTGCTCTTATATATATATTGTGGCAGCATGATTACTTCAGGCACAAAAATAGAAGGATTCCCATAACAGATGAAGAGCTGCAGAAGTTGGTGAAGTTAGCAGAGGTGGATAAATTGAGTGCTTGGATAAAAGAAAAAATCAAAATTACGTTTGTTTTTAATTGGAAACCACTTCTGGACTTTGTGCTTGAGGTGGGGGGGAAAAATGAAACTTTGATTTTGGATTTTAGATTGGTTTGTTGTTATAAAATGGTAAAGATTCCCCTCGCACATCTGTGCCAGTCGTTCCCGACTCTAGGGGGCGGTGCTCATCTCCGTTTCAAAGCCGAAGAGCCAGCGCTGTCCGAAGACGTCTCTGTGGTCATGTGGCTGGCATGATTCAACGCCAAAGGCGCACGGAACGCTGTTACCTCCCCACCAAAGGTGGCTCCTATTTTTCTACTTGCATTTTTAATGTGCTTTCGACCTGCTGGTTGGCAGAAGCTGGGACAAGTCATGGGAGCTCACTTTAGGGATTCGAACCGCCGACCTGCCGACTTTTCTGATCGACAAGCTGGAAATACAATACAATAGCAGAGTTGGAAGGGACCTTGGAGGTCTTCTAGTCCAACACCCTGCCTAGGCAGG